CCTTAAGCTCATTTATTATTTCCTGTTTTGAATGGATTTGGAAAGTATCACTAGTTTTGAAGTTGCTACCTTTGTAGTGCTTTAGAACCACATCAAGTATTCTCAAGAGACCCCTTGATCACATTAAGGGGACAAAAGATCCCTTGGGTCACTTATGTATCTTGCTGGTCCCACTTGCCACCAACAAAAAAAAAAATCACCTAGTATTAGTAGAATGAATGAAACTGCTCTTGATGAACATAACACTAGTAAGAAATATTATTAAGCAAATTATTCAGTGGAACAAAAAGGTGAGTTTTATTTTGTCCTAACTATCTACACTGCGTTTGGATTTTCTGGAGGAACCCCTAAACCTACACCTTGAGGACAACAAAATGAGAAGTTTTATCTCAGGTCAGGAGCTAGAACCCATGAGATGAGAAGGAGACAATTATGAGAAAACCCTAGAAGGATTAGGAAGAAATAGGAGCCGTGCAGTTGGGAGTAGTTCTGTAGGATACCTTCCTTCCTTCTCCTTTACTAGCACTGCCTTCCTTTCTTTCTGATTATTTGGATCCCCATAGCCTTCTCCCCACCCCATTTCGTCTGCTGCAATCTCTTCTTCCTCTGCCTGCCTCTTCCTGGCATTACTTTACTGCTATTTTACCAACCTGAATGTTGGATAAAACCTAGCTCAGGTAAGAACTTAATTACTTTCAAAATATATAAGGGACTTGGGGGGAGGCAGTATGGGTACAGTGAAACGAGTCAGAAGTCTAAGTTCTATTTTCTTTTCTGCCACTTGCAAGCTATATGACCTTAGTCATTTCACCTTTCTGGGCTTGACTTTCCTCAGTACTTAAATGAACTCAAATTTTGAGTCCCCTAGCTCTTAACACAGATTTTTTTTTTTTCTTATAAATGAGAATATAAGGTACTAGAACAGTGGAAGTCATTAGAATGTTTGCAGTGCTGAGGCTTGAAACCCCTAACATTGGTTCTGACATGGAACCAAAAGCCTGCTGTGGGGCCAGTATTGATGTTGAGATTTTAGTGGTGGGAGAAGAAAACCTTGAACATCTATAGCGAGCCCTCAAATCATTAAGAAACATCCAGCTGAGGCATAGCTCCAACTCCATGACAATAATAGCTCTTTCAAGGAATAAAACTATATCATCAAGATTTTTGGACCCACTTATTTCCAGTAATGTCCAATGTAATAAAATTCTACCATCAATAAAAGTATTGAGTGTTTTAAGACCCTTTAAACCTCTTGTGGCTACAGTGTGCTGACTTGCCCTTTTATAGGCCAGTCTGCTTCCTTCAGTCCCTGCTCTCAAAGGGGAAATTCCATCACCTCAGCTAACCAGACCGAAGAAGAGAGTCGGACAGCCAGTGGTGGCCTCTCCTAACCAGAGGTAAGAAATCTTAGGACTTGGAACTGATGTTTCCATGTGTTTGTACAGATTTTGACCAAATCCTCATCCCAACCTCACAACTATTGCATGAGGGAACCACCTTCAGTTTGAGTTAGCTTGTAGAAGGGGAGAGGCTGGTCATATTATAGTTTCAAACCAAGAAGAGAGGAATATTTAGTGTACATGGTTCTGTCTCACTGTTTAAGACCTTTGGACCATATTGTAAACCCAGGAAGAGGCAAACAAGCCTTTAGGAAAACAACTTCTGAACATCTTGTTCTCTGACTAGCCCTTGATCTCTTCTACCTAGAAGTGTGTCTGATTGTGACATCTTCTCAGGGGACTTTGTCCTGGGGTGAGGGGGTCTGATAATACTGCATTTTTCTCAAAGATCTATCATCATTTGCTTACTGGTAAAGACATATTCCTTCATTTTTAATCTCTCCTGTAGGAAATAGGTCAGAGAAAGGTGGTTTTAAGCACCCAAAACTTAAGTGTAATAGGACTACCTCCAATATAGGGCAGGAATGTGGGCTTTAAGACCTAACTTAGAAAACAAGATCATGAAACAAAAGATATACAGTAACTGCAAATCTGTTTTGTGATTACTTTTCACCTCCTCTTTTATTTTGATGGTATTGGTGTAAGTCCAAAGTAATTTGCCCTGGTAACAGAGACCTTGTATTCACTTATAGGTTTCCCCCAACGTAATACTGAGATTCTGGTCTTTTAACCCTCTGCCTTGTCTCTCTCCTCTTGATTTCTTTCATCGTGCCTAGTATTTTTATACCACTATCCCTTCATCTTGGAGCTGTGGTGGTGCAGAGGCTTACGAGTTCGGCTGCCAGCCGAAAGGTCAGCAGTTCGAATCTACCAGTCTCTCTTTGGTAACCCTACGGGGCAGTTCTACTCTGTCCTATAGGGTTGCTATGAGTTGGAATCGACTCGACAGCAACAGGTTTTTGTTTAGTTTGGTTTTAACCCTTTCATCTTAATCAAGGGTTCTCAGTCATGGCTACCCCCACAGAATAATCTGGAGAGCTTTAAAATAAAATAAAAAACAGGGGCTAGACCTACCTCAGACTAGTTAAATCAGATCTCTGGTATTTTTTAAAGCTCCCCATTTTCTAATGGGTAATTAGTGTTGACTCTCTAAACTCTTTCTAAATCTAGGCTGCATGAATGAGAAATCTGTTTTTTTCTCTAAAGCCAACTATGTGCTCTTTAGATCCCCAACCCTTATAGGTACAGTGAGTGTCTCAAGAAAAGTTAGCTACAAGCAGTAGTGATTATACTAACTGCTGTGTTCTGTGGTAGAAATAGTAAAAGGAAGACCTCACTTCCACACTGATCCTTCTTGAAGTTCTTTGACACTCTTCTCTCCTAGTTCTGACTGGTATTTCTTGGTCTCTTTTGGTGAATCCTCTTACTCCATACATCCCTTAAGTAAATATTAATGTGTCCAGGCCCCTTCTTACACTGTATCTTCTCCCTAGGTTATCTCATCTCACACACTTGGATTTCACTCCACCCAAATCTGTATCATCAGCCCAGACTTCTTCCCCTGAGCTTCAGGACCAGTATATCTAGCTCCTTACTGTGCTGCTCCATTTGGACATTCCACACACACTATACATTTACCAATATAAGATGTGCCCCTCCCCTTGTTTTACCTGTTACATTAGGTGGTACTACTAGCTACCAAGACCCTCAAGCCAGAAAATTGGGAATTATCCTAGTATATCCTCCTCCTCCCTCACCCCACACTTAACCAATCACCATATCCTTCCTTCCTCAGTAGATCTGGATGCCATCCACTTTTCTCCATTCCCACAGCCACTGCCCTTTTGGCCACACCATTTCACAGCTGGAGTCCCCACCTTCAATCTGACTGTCCTCCACCCCATCTCCCACTCTCCACATCGGACTACTTATCTTGCTGAAAAGCTGAATCATCATAGATGGCTCTCCACAATCTACTCCCAAGTCTTACCCACCAGCACCGCTAAGATACTTCATTTAGGCATGTACCACTTTGTAAGAGGCTAAAAAGCCATTTTAGAACAATACAAGTGTGAGCCAAGGACCTGTAGCATCTGCATCACCTGGGAGCTTACTAAAAGTCCACAATCTCAGCTCCCACCCCAGACCTACTGTATCAGAATCTTCATTTTAACAAGATCTCGAGGTGATCCATATGTACATTAAAGTTTGAGTAACACTGGTTTATAAAATATACAGTGTTGTTTTTTTTTACATGAATGAGGAAATCAAGGGAAAATCTGACGAAGCCAGAGCTGAGGTTGTTGTGTGCCATTAAGTTGATTCTGACTCACAGTGACCCTATAGGACAGAGTAGAATTGCCCCACAGGGTTTCCTAGGCTGTAATCATTACGGAAGCAGATCACCAGGTCTTTTCTCCTGAGGAATGGATGGTGGGTTCGACCTGCCAACCTTTGGGTTAGCAGCTGAGTGCTTAACCATTGTGCCACCAGTGTCCTTAGAGCTGAGGTGATAAATGCACAGTCAAGTGGTCTATACTTAATTTTGGGAGGGGCCGGAGGGTAATAAGGAGACCTGGTGGTGCAGTGGTTAAGCGCTCTGCTGCTAACTGAAAGGTCGGTGGTTCGAACCCACAGCAACTCCGTGGGAGAAAGGTGGCAGTCTGCTCCTAGAAAGATTACAGCCTTGGAAACCTTAGGGCAGTTCTGCTCTGTCTATATGGTCGCTATGAGTCCGACAGCAGTAGGTTTGGTTTGGTTTGGTGGGAGGGTGGTATTAATTTTGAGGAAGCCAAACAGAGGACATCTGGATCAGGTTGAGATTTCCGTAGTATATACATACTAAGTACTTACTCTGCCATCACCCCTCTCCTGCCTCCTTTCGTATCACTGTGCCTACATAAAATACTCTCTCCAAAGCCAGACTCTCTCACCTTCCAAGCCCTCATCATCAGCCCCCTTTCCTTAGTTTCCTAAGGTTAGTTAGCTATGGCAGAGAGCTCAAAGGGCAGTCTCACTACCCAGCTGTAGCCTCTGCTATCCCCCAACCTTTACTCATCCTTTAGTTTGCCCAGGTATAACTTCTTTTAGAAAGCCCGCCCTCTCTCCAGACCTTCCCCTTGCACTGTGCGCCAGGCCATCCAGTCACTTTTCACCCTGTACTGTAGCTGTTTATGGGCGGCAGTACACAGAGCTGTGCTGAAGGGCACAGGCTCTGGAATCAGATATACCGAGGTCAGAATCTCAGCTCCCTGACCTACTAGATGCGTGATTTAACTTCTTTGGGCTTTAGTTTCCTCATTTGTAAAATCTGGCTAAAAACAGTGCCTTACTGTCCAAAACTGTTGAGAGGAATGGGTGAGTTAATACGTGGCAGTACCGTGTGCCTTACCTCACCTGCCCGCAACGCCCAACGGTAAACAGTAAATAGCTGAGCTGCTGCAGGGCTCCGGCATGTTCGCCGGTGGTGGGCCAGGAGGAACTGGGGGCCGGTGCGGCGCCTGGGATCTCGGACCCCTTCCAGCTCTTCCGAGCCCAGGGCCAGCTCCCTAGGGCGTGGGGCGGGGCCGTCGGGTTGAGTGACGGCGGGTGGCCCGCCCCGTGCGTGACGTCGCCCTGGTGGTGTTGCTCGCGGCTGCACGTGGTCGGCTGAGTCCGCCTCAGGCTCAGAGCTGCGCTCCGCGTCCCCAGCACCAGCCGCCTGCCTTCCCCTCCCTCCTCGCTATGTCCACGTCCACGAGCTGTCCGATTCCCGGGGGCCGGGACTGGCTGCCAGACTGCTACAGTACCACGCCGGGGGGCACGCTATACGCCAGTACCCCGGGAGGTCAGCGGGCCGGGCTGGGGTCCGCACGCCGTGAGCAGGCCAGTTCGTGCGTTCTGCCGCGGGGCGGGGGCGGGAAGATACGGGCCTCAGAATAGCCCGCAGGCCACTGTGCGGGTAACAACTTTAGGGGAAGCGGTTCACAGCCGAGGCCCGGTTCTCTAAAACCTTGAAGTGATGCAACAAGGCCTTGAGCCTAGCTTCCGGGTAATTCTGGGCTGGAATCCCTCGCTCTGGCCTGGGTTTTGGACGCCTTGCTCATCCACCCGCCCCTCGAGACGTTGCAGCCAGAGAGTAGGAGCCGAGTCCCCAACAGAGCACAGCCTCAGCGGGAAGCACCAGCTCTTGCAAAGCGCCTACAGCGGGACTTGGGCAGTTCGGGACTGGGGCCGATTCGCCGCTGTTTGGTTGGGCGAGCAGCCTGGGATCACGAGTTCCTCTTGGGCTCCCGACCCAGGAGTTCCTGCCACGTGGGGACGGAGGGCAGGGGTGAGAACTGGGCAGAGCCCTTTGAGAACAAGATTCAGGCCAAGTTCCTCTGGGCTGGGCTGAGCCTTGTATGATTTGGGAGAGGTCAAGATAAGAACAGTATGTTCCTGTGTTTCAAGGGAACGCAGGTGTCCAGGTAACACAGCTCCCCCGGTAGAGTATCAGAGCACAGGTGGCAGCACTGGGTAAACCTCCACACCTGTTATTTGGCTTCTTGATCCAACTGAGACTGGAGGGTTAGGCTCCACCTTGTGAACCAAAGCAAGGAAGTCCCAGAGCCAGCAGAGTGGTAGAGGAACAGCCTGAAGTCCCTTAACTCCCAAGTTTGGTGCTCCTCCTATAGCTAAGACCTCAGCTCCCCTAAATCTAAAGCTTCTGCCTGGACCAGCTGGAATACCCCACTAGCTTTATGTTACTTAGTCCCACCTCGGTTAGGTGGGTAAGCCTTTAAGGGCTGGGAAGTCTAGTCAGCCGAGATCCTGGCTGGGATGTAGAGTAGGCCTTTGATGCACTGGCAAACATGACTCTAGGGTCCCTAGAAGGCCTGTCTGTGGCCCTAATCAATTCTCTACCCAAGCTCCTGCCTCTCACCTGAGCCCCTACCTCTTGATAGGCACCAGGATCATCTACGACCGAAAGTTCCTGCTGGAGTGCAAGAACTCACCCATTGCCCGGACACCCCCCTGCTGCCTCCCTCAGATTCCCGGGGTCACAACTCCAACAGCACCACTCTCCAAGCTGGAGGAGCTGAAGGAGCAGAAGGAGACAGAGGAAGAGATACCCGGTAAGGAAAGTAGAACCTAAAATTAAGATTTGATCCAACCTTTGAATTCACATGCAGATGTGTAATTCCAAAAGGGATTTCTGCACTGACCCTGAGCCTGCAGACCCAGTGTGCTCAGCTCAGCAATTTGTCCTTTTCTCTCTCCAGATGACGCACAATTTGAAATAGACATCTGATCCAGTGCAGATGACCTGGTGTGTGGAATTATAGAGGGATCCCTCATGACGCTGCTGCCACCACCTCTTCCTGGGGTATCCAAAGGCCAGCTGGCCTCACCTAATCTGGAAGGGAGTGGCCTGTTGGTTCTGGGCCTCCCCTAGTTCTGTGGCAGCTAGACCAGGGATAGGAGTGGGCAACTTTGCCACACCCTTAGTTCTCTACTTTCTCTTTGGTCTGTAGACCACACACCTCCCCACCCCCTTCCAGCCTTCCTTGCTCAGGGGCTGGGACTTGGGAATGGAGTATGTCACCTTATGGCTGCTTAGTAAACATTCAAAGAAATGCCTTGGTTCTAGCATTGTCCTCAATCCTGATCTTCCCACCTGAGCCACACAGCCTCTCCCCTTGAAGGACCTTAGCAGGCCTGGTTAGTATCAGAGGCTCCATTCCTAGCTCACACTGAGCCCACTTCCAGCAGCAATGAGAACCTGAAGCAGGCAAGCTATAGAAGCCAACCAACCATAAACAGCAATAACATGACCTCTGCCAAGAGCTGTGCCTGTCTTTCGAGGAAGCAGCCTTCCTGGAACCGGGCCTCCCCAGCAGCCCTTCCCCTAGCCATTCCAAAGCAAGTCTCTTGGAAAAGAGACGCTACCCAACTTCAGCCATTGCTAGGCTCTCCCGAGCCCTTTTCTGCCTCCTACCTGCAAGTACCAATCCTCTATCCCAACACTGAAAATCTGTATCCTCCCTTCTCATGGCATGATACCCACCAGGGACCTCTCTGGCCCCTGCTGCCCAACTCTGTTGCTCTCAGAGAGTTAGAAGAGACCTTAGGGTCCAAAGGCAAGTGAGGCAAGCAGCTTGTTTGGTGAGTCAGATAAAAAACCAAGATCCCAAATCAGTAATCTGGTCTTTTTCTCCTTTAACTTACACAGCAGGAACCCTGTTCTCTGTGGTTCTAAGCTCTGTAACACCTATATACCACAAGGGTGATAAAGTGCAAGTAGGGCAGTCTTTCCTTCCTTTTCTCTCCATGCTATTTGAGCCTCTGTTCTTGTGCTGAAATGAAAACATCAAAAAGACAGGGCTGCTGAGCCCACGAAGGGATGTGCTTTTCAGTCAAATTTTGGGGAAAGCAGCAGGCAGCAATCTGGTCATGCCCAACAGGAGCCCTTCATGATGAATGGAGGAAAAACAGAGGTTTGCAAGGAGCAGGGCAGTGAGGGAACCAGAGGGGACCAGTTTGGTATAGGAAGGGCTTATTGCTCCTACCCAGGGCCCACCATTGAGATGTTTTTATTGAAATGCATACTGCTCTGGGTAACAAGTGACTTCCCTATGGCCCATGTTGGACCTGTTCCCCTAGAGGTAGGTCACACACCAAGTACCCCAGTGGGGCAGACAGTCTCCCTAATGGTAAAAGGGAGGCAAGTGAGAGAAGGCCTCCCATGCCAAGGCAGAGGAGATACTGTGAGGCAAGTCTAGGGAACCCACAGGATTATGGAGCCCCAAAGAAGCCTGGTACAGTCTGGTTCTCTTCAGTTGTGGCTGCAGATTTTTCAGCAGCTTCCTCCTCTGAAGACAGACTCTTCTTTTCTGCAATTAATCTCTTAATTCCCACCATCCACTGACTGACCTCAGTCACATGGTCGACCATGAGTGAGCGGTGGATGTCATCTGCTGTGTCCCACCGCTGGCTTGAAAGCTCTGAGGAGAGATTAGGGCTGAGCAAGCTGCCTGAGACAAAAGAGGCAGCTAGCTCTCACTCCTCCCCTCCCAATCACCCAAAACCTCAGCACCTGTTCCAACTCAGCCAACCATGGCAGGACCCACCCATACCTTGCACTAGCAGAGCCATCCTCTTCTTTACAGGCATTGACAGCTTCCCTCCAGCCCACTGTTCCTGCAGCAGTGCCAGGCGTCGGCTGATGTCATCACATACCTGCTTCTGAGAGACACAAGGCCTCTCCAAGTTAGTGCTGCCTGCCCAACAAGGGGAGGAGAAAGGCAGCACCACATAGAAGAACAGCTTTCTGTGGCCCAGGAACTTTACACTTAACTCCTTACAGCTCTGATTCTTTACCTAAAAGTCAGAGGCCCAACTGAGGATCTGAGGAAACCTATGGATTTCTCCCCAAGAAAAACGCACGTATGGCTAGAATTTTAAATTTTCAGGGGCTTTGCAAACCCTCAGGTTTATCTTGTTGTGCTACTTTATAAATAAGGACGCTTAGGACCAAAGAGTGAAACAACCATGCTACTTCTCCTTTAAAACATTCCTCAGATCCCTTGTGTCTAGATACTTATAAAAACAATGCAGTCAGAAGGGGATTTCCCTCTCCCTCCTTCACTGAGTTGGTATATAAATTCCCTGAGCACAAAATCAGCAAGGTCTGCTCTGAATGGCTGGAGGTACAGAAAATCAGGCTGTTACAGTCACTAATAGGAGTTATATTCAACACTTGTTTCCGTTTCCACAAGCCTCTTCTACTGACTGGTGTTCAGAAGTCCCACATACCCTCCCGAAATCCTGTGTTCATTTGTCTGGGAAGTCCTTAGCAGATTCTGAAGGGGTCTACAACTCAAAAGGGTTAAGAGTCATTGCTCATAAGGTCAGAGGGTCTACCTTTGGGAGCCATACTTCATCTAGCTGTCAGTAGGAGTCCTCCCCACCACCACATGGTATGCCAGGGTCAGAGGCTCCAATGAGCTTACCCTCATGTGGCCACGGCAGTCTTCCAATGCCTGTTCCAAAGGTCTCAGCACATCCTCCAGCAGTGTCTCAGACTTGATGACTGGGAAACTTGGGGGCTTCACACTGGAGGCAGGACAACTCCCCACAGGTGAGGGCCTGGGAGCCTTATCTGAAGGAGGTGGAGGTCCTTTTGGGGGGGGTCCAGGAGTAGTCTCTGAAGCAGGGGCTGAAAAGGTAAAGTAGGGCCGAACAGTAAAGCTTAAAGAGGTAAGCTGCTCAACTCTAAATTCATCCTAAGGAGGGCTACGCAAGTTATGTTACTTGCTACAAAGAAATAAAATGGTGATGTGATAAAAAGGAATGGAGGACCTATCTAGACTAAGTATTCAGGAAAGGCCTTATGAGGTGACATTTAAGTTTCTCCCAGCTCACCAACTCCATAACCTGTGACAAGTTAGTTAACCTCTGAGCTTGGTTTCCTCTTCTGTAAAATGCAGATATTACACTAACGACTTACTTCATAGGGTTATAGTGAGGATTAAGAAAGAATACAGGCGAAGTTCCTAGATTAGTGTGTAGCAAAAAGTGCTCACAAAGTTAGCTATTAAGTTGAGAACTAATGGATGAGGTAGATGCAGCCATGAAGAGTTGAAGGGATGGTGTACTAGGTAGAGGGAACTAAAAGGCAGGAGAAATCTTGGTTTATTCAGGGAAAAAAAGTATTCAGAGCTGAGTTTCTGTTCTCACCACTCCAGAGACTGCTCTTGTTACAAGTTATCAGTGATTGCTGTGTTGTTAAATCTAGTGGTCCCATATCTCTTACTTCTCAGCAGTATTTATCACAACTGATTGATGATTTTACTCTCCTATTTTCCTTTTTACTCTCCTATTTTCCTTTTACTTATTTGGCCATTCCTTAGTTTCCTTTGCTGTTTTCTTGTCTACTCACCTTGAAATGTTGGAGTCCTAGGGCTCTGTCTTAGATCTTCTTTAGGCTGCTATCCACACACTCTCCCTACGTGGCTTCATTCAAGTCCATGACATCCGATACCATCTATGTGATGGTGATTTATTTCTATAATTCTGGCCTAGACCTCTGCCTAAAATATCAGCCCAAATGTAACATGGCCAAAGAAAAAGCTTGGTTTCCCCCTCCCCACAAAACCTCTTCATCCCCCAGTCTACCCATATCAGTGAATAATACCACCCAGTTCCTCAAGTAAAACACTTAAAGGTTAAACTTGATTCTCTTTCTCTCACTTCCTACATCTACTTATTTCTGCTAACTTTGTAAGATTCCAGTTTTTACCGTCCCACTCAGGGATGGGTTACACAATAAGTAAGGCAAGCACAGCTTGCTTATGTTTACTTAATCTGTAGTGCACAGCAGATTAGTAAGTAAACACAATTAAGCCCATGCACACCTTGCTTACTGGTTAATCCATCCCTGCCCCGACTATTCCCACTCTTGTCCAAGCCATCATCAATCATTTCCTGTATTACCATAATGGTCTCTTAGTTTGTCTTTCCACTTCCTCCCTAAAATGTGTTTTCCACACAACAGACGCAGTGGTCTTTTTAAGATGTAATTCAGTCAGTGGTTCTTGGCCTGTGGAGATTTTGCCCCCAGAGGCTTTTGGCAATGTCTGGAGACATCTTTAGCTATTACAGCTGGAGGAGGAGCGGTGCTACTTGCATCTACTGAGTAGAGGCCAGGGTTGTTGCTAAACATACTACAGTTAACAAGGCAGTCCTCAAAACAAAGAATTACCTGGTCCACAATGTCACTAGTAGCAAGGTTAAGAATCCTCGGCTTACATCATTCCTTTGTAGTACAAAGGGAGTGGAGAATGGAAGGGGATCTGAAAAGAGCCAACTCTGAGCTCCTTTTGGAGGGCCACAACCCCTCTTCCTTACCTAGGAAATCCTCAGGAGGAAAGATGGCCCTCCTCTACTTTAAATTTTTCAGTAGCTTCCAACTTTACCTAGATTCAAATACAAACTCCTTATCTTGGTTTACAAAACCCACTCAGATGTAGTGTATGCCTCAGACCTTGTCTCACTCTATCCCTAGCCCACCATGCTCTAGCCATGCTGGTATTCCTTCAGTCTCTGAATCTGTCAAGCTTGTCTGCCCTGTTTTCCTATGCGTGGAATACTCTCACAGTTGATTTTTGTGTGGCTAGCTTTTAATCATCATTCAGATTTCAGCTTAAACGTCGACCTTACACACCTAATTTAATTACCCAGTCACTACCACCCTGTTTGATTTCTCTGCATAACACTTAGACCACTATTTCATTTGTCTGTCTCCAACACTAGAGCATGGGTTCCATGAAAGCAGAACCTTTTGTCTTCTTCACTGCTGTCCAGTTCACCCTCAGACATTCCCTGGCTCATAGTAGGTGCTCATTAGACATACTGATTAAATGAGTGAATGACACGTTAAGTCTGATATGCTTATTATATACCTAAGTGAAGGTACAGAATAGACAAAGTTCTGGGAAGACGACCAGATTGGACATAAAAATTTGAAAATATTTCGAAAATAAAAACTATTTAAAACCACAGGTCTAAATGAGATCACCTAGAATGATCCTATATACAATCTTTTGAAACCGACACACTAGTTATTGCCATGGCCAGTGGAGAAGGGGCTTGGAAAAGGGCCTTTCCTGGGCCCCTTTTGGGAGCCCCAACGCCCCTCCACAGCTGGAGTCCTCAGCGGAGAAAAAATGCCCTCCCCGCAGGCATATCCCTGACACTGCCCATACCCCACGAGTCTCCGCGCAGGGGGCCATCACGCACCTCTGGGGGATCCATCCTGAGCAGCAGCGACCCTCTTGGTGAGTGGCGTGCGCTTGGACCCGACAGCTTGAGTCTGTAGCCCGTAAGAAAACTGCGGCGGGTCGTTCCAGCCGCGCTCCTTGTTGCCTGCGGAGAAGAGGGGACGTGTAAAGAGAGACCGGAGCTCTGATGGGAGGGTTACATTGGGGCTAGGGGAAATAGAGGCTCCACACTCCGCGCTGTAACTGCCTCCAGCCTCGGTAGGGGTGAGGACCCTGCGTCCCAACCCCGCAGACCGCGCTCACCCGGCTTCACGTACAGCTCCGCCATCTCCACTTCCGCACGGCCAGCGGGGCAGTGCGTCACTTCCGGGGCGGCCGCAAACCCAAGCCAATTGGGACGAGTCCCGGGCCACGCCGAGTGCCTGGAACGACCGGATCCTCGAAGTTGGGCAGTTCTAAAACGCGGTAGTCGCTGTGGAGACCCTGCGCTGTCCCCCTAGGAGGCTCGAAGTTTCCAACTGATGACCTATCGGTGCCCTGGTCATAAGCGGGTTAATTTTCCAGGAGCCAGCACGCTTGCAGTCCTAATCCTGTGTCCAGTCTCTCCAGTGTTTCCCAGTTGCTCTCAGGAGCAAGCTCAAACTACCAGAAGCCCCTGACCAGCCATCACACGCCACTCTGTGAACTAGCCAGGTCGACTTCTAGAGCCTCACCTCCGTCCACTGCCCTGCACACTCCCCACATTCATTCTCTCAAGGCTTGCTAACTAGTACTCATCTTCCTTCAGTACTCAGCTTAGATGTCAACTCCTTAGGAAACCTGTAATGCCTCAGGCCAGTTTAAGTGCCTCAAGGTCCCACAACCCTCTGAGATTTCCTAGTTGTACTACATAATATCTTCTATCTGGTTTAATTTTTTTGTCTCCCCCTCTTGACAATCTCTGAGGGTTAAGGAGGTCCCTGACTATTTTATCACATCTCTGGTGCCTGGCCAGAGAACACCTTCGAAAATGTTTGTTGAATAAATGAAGTCAGATTTCCATCACACCCATGCCCTCATGTGACTTCAGGCAGCAGCCAACACGTAGCAGAAACACAAAGACACACGGGTTGTCTGCCCCCAACCCTGTCCCAGGCCCCATATACTCACACCCAGTGAGGTCACTGAGGGATTTTATTTGCAGTGATTTTGCTATAAAGTGTTGCTGAGGTAGAGCCAACTGTCCAGGGCTAGACAGGGGCAAGGAACACAGGGACCCCGGAAAAGGGAAGCCAGGGGCCTAGGTTGTGGTGCAGGGCCTCTCAGTCATCCATATAAAGTTAATAAATAAATTGGGCAATAAATAGAGGGTGGGCACAGACCAGAGGAGCAAGCAGAGAAGGTTCCAAGAGATGAGAGGCTGCAGGCCCCTGAGGAATAAAGTGGTGCAGAGTTGGGCATGGACCCAAAGCCTCCTTCTCCAGTCCTCCCAGATAAATTTAGGGCATATGGAGCACAGAGGTTTTCAGCCGGAAGGCATCAAGAAAAGAGAAGACGCCCCGTTTTCGAGGGGCTGCCCCTGCACCCCCAACACCTCCTTTGAGCAGGGGGCGGGGCAGGGGATCTCCTGGGGAGTCCATGGAGCTGGTCCTCTTGAGTCGCAGGCGTGCACGAGCCTGGACACCCCAGGCCTTGCCCCGGGCTGCAGAGGCCACAAGACACTTCTGGTACTGAACCTAGGGAAAAGGGGAATGTGAGGATCCAGCTATTTTCTGCCCCTGGACTCCCTGGAAGCTTCTGCAGGACAGGGAACTGGCCAAGGCTTCACTCTGGTACGAGGTTGGTAGTCTGCCACATCTGGAGTGCCTACAGCATTCCCAGGTAGCTCAATAACAAAAACATAAAACTTGACATTTACCGAGCACTTAAGGAGAGCTGGACACTGCACTAAATGCTTTACATAATCTAACTTAATCCACAGTTACTTATGAGGTGTTATTACCCCAACTGAAGAAATTGGGATTCAGAGAGAGTAAATGCCTTGTCCAAGGTCACTTAGCCAGAAGATGGTAGAATTGAGATTCAAGCCTAGTTCTAATGCTAGAGCTGTACTCTTAACCACAACTACCACTATGTTGCCTCTCCTTCATCTCTTGCTGGTTTGGACTGGCCCTTGGCTAAGCAGATGCCTAGTCAAGGGGAAGGTCTACAACCCAAACTCCATTCCCAATGTAACTGTTCCTATCATCTCTCATTTGAACTACCTCAACAGAGTCCTAATTGGCCTTTCTACTTCCTTTCTTGTGTCCCCCAAATCGTCTACCTATACTATAGCTTAAGTGGTCTTTCTAACCCACAAACCTGACTTCACTGTGCTACTCTAAACATGTAAATAGCTCCCGCGGCCCTTAGGATAAAATAAACTCATTACCTTGACCTATAAGGTCCTCCATGTTTCTGTCATTCTGCTTTCATCTCTCACTACATTTTGCACTCAATACACTACATTCTTTTAGATACTGTAATCAACCAACCTCCCTCTTACCTTCAGAACAGCTGGGGTTTCCTATACCTGGCACACCTTCTGCCCTACTCCCTTGCACCTGGCAAACTCCTTCTTGGACCTTCAACTTTCAGTTTTCCATCATCTCTTCCAGGCAGTCTTCCTGAACCCCTGAAGCTGCAATGGGGCCCTCTCCTCCATCATCCTGTAGTGTACAACTTACTTCTGGTCTATCCCTGCTCTATCCTAAGCATTCTGTGAGGGCAACGACTGTGCCCTAAAAATTCCCAGGGTCCAGAATGGTGTCTGGTATCTTGTAGGCACTCACATTTGTCGAATAAATAAATGAAAGTGTCCCACACTCAAATGCTCACAGATGCCAGGAAGTAACCTAAATGAGACAAACAGGAAGGACAATGCCCAGCCCCTCCACAACTCCAGCTACTGGTTTAAACTTACATATGTGGACTCAGTACTACGGTTCCTGATATTTTAAGAAAAACAGGAATACCAGCTATATGTAAAATGTCCCAACCTTTAAATATTAGCAACTAATTAAAACTTTTCAAAACAGTGAAACAGTGCGAGGGCCAAATAAAACAGTAGTGAACCAGAGTCAGCCTTGGGATCGCTGGTTTGTGATCTCTGGAGAGGCTGCCAGTCCTGAGCCCCATTGCCAGTACAGAACAGCTGCAGGGCAACCCCACCCCATTCTCACCCCGACTCACCATGCAGGCAGCCTGCACAGCTTCGGAGAGTGCCCCTGCATGGGGCTGGCACCAAAAGGCTGCGCACTGGAAGCTTTGGCAGCCCAGGTCGGCGATGAGACCAAAGGTGTGTGGGTCACGGCCAACACCAATGAAGGTCACAAGGCGCACAGGACATTGCCACAGTGGCTCCTCCTCTGCACTGGCCTCTGCCTGCCCATGCCAAAACTAGTCAATAGAGGGCCAGGTGCTAGCTGGACCCACTGAGTTCTTCTAGTAGCAAGCAGTGACCCCTCAGCACCCCTGCCCACATCTCCACAGCCTCCAACCTCACCCCCTTCTGGTACCTGAACGGGATGTGCAGTCATGAGAGAGTCAGACACACTGAGCATAGTGGGAACCCAGGCATCCCGGTCGCCCCGGGCAGTCAAGGTACCAATGGCCTCGTTCAGCACGTCCATTCCTAGAAGGACACGCCCACTAACTGTGGTGTCTCCCAGCCGTAAGGAAAGAAAGGGTCTGCAAGGAGTGTATAGGCTCCTCTCACTGACATGGGATTCAGAAAGATGGGGAAAAGGGTAGTCAAGGCTGGGCTTAGAATCCTGAGTTAAGAAGACTAGTACATCCCAGGCCACAGTGGGCCATGGGAACACTCTGAGAAATGGTGGTAGACCCCACCTCACCCACCTTCCCCTTGCCCACCTCTTCCAGCCCTCTCAGTTCTCACCCATGGCTTTGGTGACTGGCAGGGTCCCCACGTACAGTGCTTCGTACTTCTGAGCAGCCTGGCTCACTGAATCCAGCAGCTCCACTGGAATATACACACTGAGTTGGCCTGGGCATTTTCTCAGTCACTCTTCCTTCCACCCTTCAGAGTGGGGCAGGGCCCAGACCAGAGCTAGAGCTAGTAGAACAAAGGCTCTTTCATGTTCCTTCTCTAATTCAGGCTTGGGATCCTGAGACCAGGACACTTCAGAAGTCCCACATCTCCAGTGAGGTACTAAATAACCTAGAGCACCCTCCCCCACATCTTTCATGAAAGCAGCCCCTGATGCTGCAATGCAACAGCCCCCATACCTTGCCGTGGCAGCTCTTCAGGGGATATGGGGTCTGGGGAGCAGCAAGGAGCATCACCACTGACTTCGACTTGCTCTGACAAGATCTAAAACACAATACAGCCAGCATAAGGACAGGGAGGGAGGGGAATTCAGGTGAAGGGGCCAACATCACACTGCCCCAACAACCCTGGAAACTTTAGAATCAGGGCCACACCCACATTCCCTGCCCCACCCCTGGCCTTACCTGGGCGCAGAGGCCATGCAGGGCACTGGCAATGGCCTTGGCAGGGACGTCACAACGAAACACATGGCACTTGAGCATACAGCTGTCTTTGTCACCCGCCACAAAAGCGAAATCCCTGGTAAGGTCAGAGATTGGGCTGGGACAGAGATGTGACTAGAGTAGAGGGTGGGTTGGGAAGGGCCCTGTAGTGCCTATAGGTGAGGGATATGCCAGGGATGGAGCAGGGGGGTCTGGGCTGGAGCTCAGGACACTTGGCTGTCACTCACCTATCACTGTTCCGGAAGCATGTGGGAGCACAAGAGGGAGTCAGCCCAGCCACTCAGGCTCTCCCCAGCCCATCCCTGCTGAGCTGGGCCCACCCTTCCCCACCAGGGCTGGACCAGGCAGTGGAGGCAATGCTTGGGTTCATGATAGAGAATCTGTGTCCAGGGGTTCAAGTACAGGGCATTAGCATCAGTGGGGATCACAGCCTGCAGGGGGCAGGGCAGCTCTCGCTTGAGAGGAGTGTAGGGGCCCTCACCGGCCCTTGGAGCTGCCCACGCCCCATACACGGATGTGCACCAGAGGCTGGCAGTGGATCAGACTGTGGTCCAAGGGATTCATCAGGCTCATGGCATCCTTCTTCAGGATCATCAGCATGTTCTGGCCCTGCGAAAAACAGTGATTAGCCCAAAGCTCAGATGAGGGTAGCTGCCAGGAGGGCCAAGTAATTCAAGCCTCTACTGGGCCCTGGGCTGAATCTTTGGAGGGTCAAGCCAGCTCACCTCACCCCAGGTGCCATCTGGGAGCTGGCTCCGGCTGCGGGTCTGGGCCAGCTGCTGGATGCAGTTATTAACCGCAATGCTGCTCTTTCCTGGTGCCAGATCCTCCTCGGGTACCTCTACCCAGCCCAGAGAACGGACTGCAAAGCACTGATGGGACGGAGGACCCTGAGTGAGTAGGGGTGGGTGGGTAGTGCCACAGGCCCCACAGATATAACCACTGAGACCCCCTCCCTCCACCCTTGATCACCTCTGCTCAGCCCAATCGCAGCCCTAACCTTTCCCACGGCACCCCTCCAATGCCCTCGCCCAGCACTCAGGCCCAAGTCACTACCTTAGCCCCTGGCTCCATGCTCTGGATGTAGGATTCCTCACCGTACCGGGACAGGGAGTTACTAGAACAAAACAGAGTTGGTGAGAGGACCGTACGTCCTACAGGGGCACTGGAGAGGCCCACACTGCTGGAGTGGATACAGGACATGGGACAGAGCTCAGAATATAGCACTCCAAATATACAGCCAGAGCAGTGGCAGAACCCAGAATGTATTAAGAAAATGTAACATAGGATGTGGCTTAGAAGTTGAAGGAGGACTCAGGACAGACACATGACCCAGAGTATTGAAAAAGGTATACCACAAAATAAGAGTTGAAACATGAAAAAGGGTCCAGTGTGTATACCAGAGCCCCAAATCAGGACGAGACCCTAGAACTGGATGAGCCCCCATGAAAGAGCCCAGGACGATGGTCTAGATTATAATGGGTCAGGACCCAAAATATGAAAAAGACAGCTTGTAACAAAGGACAAAACTCAAAATACTAAGACAGTCAAGAACATGGGTCAGAGCCAAGACACAGAACCGAGTCCAAAACATGAGACAGAGCCCAGAACCTGGGCCGAAAAGCAGATCATCAGTTCAGCTGCACTTTTGAGTGCCACCGAGCCCTAAGCCTTTCACTATGCCTGGCACATCCCTGTTACCTCCAGTCCAGTGAGCTCTCCAGGCTGGAGAAGGATCTGCCCTTGGGGGGCCGCAGTCCCCAAGTCCCCTTGGTCCCCTGTGGAGAGGTGGTTAGGTCAGTTCAGCAGCGGGCCTAGGTCCACACATGGGATCAGGCCTCCTCCTCGCACTCCACCTACCTTGCCTGGGTCCTCGGCATCTCCTGGCTCCCAGGTCGGGCGCTGCCACTGGGTGCTACCACTGGGTACGTGCCAATAGTAGGTACCTGCAGCATCGTGGATCTTCCTCCAGCCAGGAGGCAGGCCTGGCTCCCCCTCCAGACTTTGGTCTCCCCATAAGTCATCTACAGGAACACAGGATGAGAGAGCATATTATTCGTGGGCTCAGAATAACACTCTGCCATAACCCTCCATCCCAGAGGAGGCAGCTCTCAGGTTGGAGGTCCAGGCTGAGGGTCCCGACTCCCCAGTCTTGGAGACATCGCCGTGAGAAGCTCAGGGTTTATTTGTTCCCTGGTCCTCACCCTGAGATGTCCATACTCTTTGAGCATCGAGGTAGCCTTTCGCGCTCCCTTGTGCCCTCTGAGCTCCCGATCCTCCCACCGAGCCCCTCCATGCACACCATCGCAGTTGACCAAAATGATGGCCAGCATGTAATCCTTGCCCAGCATAGCCCCGACCGCGTCCCCGCCGGCCGTAGCCGGCCCGCACTCAGCCCAGCACGACCTCCGGAGCTGCCGCGCCTACAAGCCCTGCCTCTCTGCGCGGGAGACGGCCCCGCCAACTGGCGCCGCACAAACACGGGGCGGGGCTGGCTCCCGGAGGTGGGAAGTGGCGGGCCTGAACAGCGTGGCCCGCTGAGGGGTGGTGCGTATAAATAGCCGTTTGGATCCCCAAGTAGGTGCGTGTCTCCGTGGGTGGATCTGGGGAAGGCTGCGGACGCCACCGGACTCGCTGACACCACGGCGCAACTATGAGCTCATCAGGCGATGGAAGACCAAGACAGCAAACGTGCTCCGCGAGCACACGCACACGAGTGAGAGCATCGGGCCCGCCTAATATGTGCGCGCACACGCAGCCCGAAGCCCCACGGATGGGGTCACGTGGGAGTTTCTGCGAGCAGGAAACTGCCAGGGCTCCGCCGCGAGGGGAAACGCCTCCACCCTTTCTAAAGATATCCCGGAAGTGCCTCCGCCCTCAGTAAAGATGGCCGTATCATTTAGCGTGAAAGAGGTGGGGCTGCGCTTGCGCAAGAAGTTCGGCGGGGAAGATGGCGGATGACAAGGTAAGTGAATGTGTAGGGGATCTGAAGTCGGGGGTGGTCTTCACATTCCGTGACCATTTTGATCTTAGGAAGAAGCGACACTGGAGCGGCCCAGAGGTGGAGGTGCCTGTTGTTTCGTCTGGGATTTTCTTGTTTCCTCTGGACTTGCGCGCTTATTGCCGGCCTCAACAGTGGGGGAAGGGAGAACTACACGAGCCCGGGTTTCCCCAGGTGTTCCACCCGGGACCATCATGATCCTGTTAGTTTTACACACTCAGAAACACATTCATCCTGATACAATCCTAGACGCACTCACACCCTTCTCACGTTCTTGCAGTGATGCACGGTCACACTTTTCACCAGTCCCTAGCCTCCGAAAATTTTCTCCCGGAGACATGTTTCTAATTCACACGGACACTCACACCCTCATTTAAACACTCCTTTGGACACAAACTAAATTTCATACTTATGTTCGATAGAAATCACTCAGTTCATTTACTCATTCTCTTTCAATCATTCTTCCTCTCCAGTCATTCACACATTCAGGTTGCCATGGCCTACAGGGGTGGGGAGTAGGAAGCCAGGAAGTCCAGGAAGAAACCAGTTTTATCCCTAAATTGTTCAGAGAGTTGCCTCAGTCCTCTATGCACCATTAGTCTGGAAGTCCGCCACCACCCATACATTTACCAAGTACTTGTTTGATGCCAGGCACTGAGGACACAGTAAAGACAGATCAGGTCGCCACTTTCAGGGAGCTCCTAGTCTAGTCAATAGTGCTTTCCTGATAGCCCTAATTGGAGGTCCCCTTGCTGCTGCTCCTGCCTCCCCAACACACTGCTTGCTATATTCATTACCTGTAGCTGTTGTTGTAAATCACTGATACAGATCCCATCTATTTCCCGCCCCCACTCCCATGTGAATTCTGTGCTCTTCAATGCCTTTTCTTCCTCTACTGCTGCCATCTCAGGAAAGTTTTAATAGGAAGAGGTTTCTCAGGCTTATCCCATCCTCCTCAACCACCTCTCCCCTAGGCTCTAGTAGAATTGAGAGGGGATGGGACTGGGTCAGTCTACTGGAGCCAGCCCCTCCCTTGTCCTAGGATTCTCTGCCCAAGCTTAAGGATCTGGCATTTCTCAAGAATCAGCTGGAGTGCCTGCAGCGGCGCGTAGAAGATGAAGTGAACAGTGGTGTGGGCCAGGTAGGGGCCAACTTTCTCTCCCTTAAGCGTTATTGCCCAACATGTCTTTGAGAGTGTTGAGTGGTTATTAAGAACCTCTTCTCCGTGACACCAAGGAAAGTTTTCCTGGGAAAATGGCACTTGAACTGGGATCTTAAGTTTTTGTAGGGGTTAACTAGATGAAGAGGAGAGGAAAGAACATTCCAGGCTGATGGAACAGCATACGCAAATCCCTGTGGTGGGACGTAGCATGATGAACATAAGGGATGAAAGGAGGTTGATTTGGCTGGAGTCATGGGGGAGCATACTAGGAAATGAGGATGGAGAAGCAGGCAGGGATGAGATCAGATTCCTCAAGGGCATCTCTGAGGTCTAGTGGCACTGGGGTTCTGTGGTTGGAGCCTTTTGATCCCAGGGTTCTGAGATTGTGTAATCAGGACTCCTGGGTTCTTTTTCTGGCTCCAGAACCTTGAGAAAATCTTGAATACTGCAGATGTCCAGAGTGAGGAAAAGCAGGTGGTGGAATGCTGTAAGCCCAGCTTGAGTAGCTCCTTGGTAGAAAAGGGGGAGAGCCTGGCTGAGTTTCCTCCTCCATTTTCTTCCGTAGGATGGCTCGCTTCTATCCTCCCCATTCCTCAAGGGCTTCCTGGCTGGCTATGTGGTGGCCAAACTAAGGGCATCGGCAGTATTGGGCTTTGCCGTGGGCACCTGCACTGGCATCTACGCAGCCCAGGCATATGCTGTGCCTAACGTGGAGAAGATGTTGAGGGACTATCTGCAGTCACTGCGCAAGGGGCCCGACTAGCTCTGGATCCCATGGGGGAGGCAGGATGAGCAGCTGGGGCCTGCAGGTGGAGGCCTTTCAACCAAAGACATCATATCTCATTTCCCTGGCTGTCACCCATTTGCTGTCTCCACCCTTCCTGCTGCCGTCACCCTTGATTTTCTTCCTACAGAGGGTGGACAGTGGCTGGTCAGCTTCCACCTTGGAAATCTTCCCTCCCTTACCCCATGGGTGGCCCCAAGACTGTGGCTTCAGGGGCCACAAGCGTCTTTCTCTTCCAGCCCTGACTGTGGAGTTTGCAGCTGACTCTGATCCTCTGTATTCTCTCTGGCAATGTACCATGGCTGCACCCTCCTAGGGGCTGGCTCCATGACTTGATTTTCCTCAGACGTGTTACAACGTCTGTGCTGTCCCTTGCTACACAGACCACCCAGGATCTTGTGTGGGCATGAGTATAGAGGACGGGGGTCTGCCAGGCCTGGGTCGTCCCAGGCAGGCCCGTTGGACCCTGATGCTACTCCTGTCCACTGCCATGTATGGTACCCATGCCCCATTGCTGGCGCTGTGCCATGTGGACGGCCAAGTGCCCTTCCGGCCCTCCTCGGCTGTGCTGCTGACTGAGCTGACGAAGCTGCTGTTGTGCGCCTTCTCCCTCCTTGTGGGCTGGCAAACATGGCCCCAAGGGGCTCCACCCTGGCGCCAGGCTATCCCCTTTGCACTATCAGCCCTGCTCTATGGCGCTAACAACAACTTGGTGATCTATCTTCAGCGTTACATGGACCCCAGCACCTACCAGGTGCTAAGCAATCTCAAGATTGGAAGCACAGCCCTGTTCTACTGTTTCTGCCTCCGGCACCGCCTCTCCACACGCCAGGGGTTAGCACTGCTGCTACTGATGGCAGCAGGGGCCTGCTATGCGGCTGGTGGCCTCCAGGACCCCCGGAACACCTTTCCGGGGCCCCCTACAGCAGCTGCTGCTGGCCCCATGCCCCTGCATATCACCCCGCTGGGGCTGCTGCTTCTCATCCTGTACTGCGTCATCTCAGGCTTGTCATCCGTGTACACAGAGATGCTCATGAAGCGACAACGGCTGCCCCTGGCACTTCAGAACCTCTTCCTCTACTCTTTTGGTGTACTCCTGAACCTAGGTCTGCACGCAGGCAGTGGCCCCGGCCCAGGCCTCTTGGAGGGTTTCTCGGGATGGGCGGCACTTGCGGTGCTGAGCCAGGCACTAAACGGACTGCTTATGTCGGCTGTCATGAAGCATGGCAGCAGTATCACTCGCCTCTTTGTTGTGTCCTGCTCACTGGTGGTCAACGCCGTGCTCTCAGCAGCCCTGCTGCGGCTGCAGCTCACAGCCGCCTTCTTCCTGGCCACACTGCTCATTGGCCTGGCTGTGCACCTCTACTATGGCAGCCACTAGCCCTCACCACCTCCACTCTGCTGACCCCCAATCCTGACCCTGTAGATTGGGCACCACCATCAGAGCCACCTGCCAGCCCTAACCTTCCCTCACCAGCCCTGTAGTAAGTGCCTTGTGAGAAAAGCTGGGGAAGTGGGAGCAGCCAGGTCAGTCTCTGGAGGTGGGTGAATGAAGGGATAACCCCTGGGAGACTTTAAAAGTGGGTTTGGTTAAAGAAACTCCTACCCCCCACCCCCCACCCCACCAAGTTCTTCCAGACAAGTGATTAGGGGAATATCAATATCAAGGCCTGAGAAAAGACCCCATCCCTGATGGGGGAGGCTTCCTGACTCATCCTGCATTAGTACAGTTGCTCAAAGGGTGCTGTGGGAGACAGGTGGCTTTCCTTGCCTCCTGTGATCCCCAGCAGACCCCATGTTCTGTACCTGGCTTTGGCTGCTCCAGCCCAGCCACAGTGCATGACTTTCCCATAAGGGATACTCCCCCCAGCTCATGCAGGAAGACCCAGTAGCCACAAATTACACAACAATCACCCAGGCCACTCTGCCAGCCCCTGCTCCAGCAGCATGGGGATGACACACCCCCTGCTCCCTCCACAGTGCTGCTCCCCACACCTAGCCTTTTTCCTGGAAACCCCAGAGAGGGCTGGGGCTTGACTCATCTCAGGGAATGTTGCCCCTGGGCGTTGGCTTAAGCCTACACTCCTGACCTCTCTGCTTACCCCCACGGGCCCTCTTGAAGCCCACTACCCCGTCTCTGGGTCCTGCCTCTACCTAGCAGTGTTCCAGCTCCCACCAGTCAGGAAGTTCTGCAGAGTGACCTGGGGCTAGGCAGAGGAAAACTTCCATAGCTCAATCAGTGTCTCTTTAACTGCATAAGCAATAAGGTCCTAATAAAGTGTTCTGGGGTGTAGGATGGTTCCTACAACCGGCCATGGTTGTCCTGTGTCTTCTTTGTTGCACAGCTCTTTTCAAACATACTTTCATTCGCCTGGTGTCATGAGTATCTTAATTCTAGGGTAACAACTTCTGGACTAGGAGGAAAAGCTGTTTTCTCCTACTGTTACCGCAGGCATTCTTTCCTTTAGGGAGTCTGTGGTGCTGTCACAGAGCTTTTGAGCTTTCCCTGAAAAACTGAGCCCTAAGGATTTTAGAAGGAGTCTTGGGAATATAAGGTGCTGGGCCCAGCAGGACAAACTAAACTCCAGGCTGGAAAACTCTGGTTTGGTTTTGATTCTCATTTCCTCTGCCCTCCTTGCCAGTTCTCCTGCCTGGTACCTGCTCTCATGATCAGAGGAATGTCAGGCCCTGCTTCTCTGCTAGAATACCTACTGAGCTTGTGAAAAATCATTTTGGGCCTACCCCAGACCCACTGAAGCAGAGTCTTAGGGAGTGGAGTCTGGGAATCTTTATTTATTTTTTAAACAAGTTCCCTAGTGGAGGCAGCTCTAATCTGAAACACATGAGGTCACTATGAATCGAAATCAACTCGGCAGCAGCTGGTTTTGTTTTTTGTTTTGTTTTTTTTGTTTGGTTTAGTTGATTCTGATGCACACTGAAGCTTGTGAACTGCTGCTTTCTGCAGTGTAGAACTATAGCCAGCCAGACTTGAATTTGAATTCTAGCTCTACCATTTCACTAACTGCTCTTGAGCAGTTACTTAATCTCTGAGTGTAGGTTGTCTTAGTTCTGAAATGAGAATCAAATGGTACTTATAACGTACTATGGGTAGCTGAAAAGGTTAAATGAAAGAATGGATATTAGGTGCTTAGGGGCTGGCACAGTGAAATCAGGAAGTGGTGTTATTAATTATCCATAAGGAGGGTTAGCTTGGTAGTTGTACCTCATCTTCCCTCAAGAATGAGGAGAGAGGGAGCTGCCCATAAGGGATTCCTGATCACCGGATTTCTCCCCAGGGCAGGGACCCAGCATAACTGCCCCCATCTGGTCTGCACCCTGATGAAGCTGCTGGTTCTGGACTTGGAGCTCCTGGTTCTGTGTGGCCAGGCTGATGGTATCTTGCAAGACGCCAGCGAGCAGGCTGCGTTGGTGATGTTCTGCAGTCATGGCCTGCTTCTCCTATAGCCTCCGCCAGGCCTGGAACACCTGTGACCAGATTCAGAGATGCCTATCAGTCAGCCACCTTGGAACCAGCTCAAGGCCTGCCCTGTGTCCCCACTGACCTGCAGCACATGGGATGTCCAAGCACGGGTGGCCTGTACATGCAGGTCATAGAGGGCTACCAGGTCCTGCTCTGCAGCGTCCCACTCTGCCTGAAGGCCCTCCAGCTGGAGTTTCAGCACTCTGCTCTCGGTGCCATCTCTGCTTCTCCTCGGAGGCTTTAAGTAATAAGACGTACCCTTGGCAAATGCCGTCTGTGTGCCAGGAGCTATGCTACGTACTTCAGATATACTATCTCATTTTATCCAGTAACAGCTATATGAGTAGTTGCCATTTTATATAATTGGAAACAGTGAATCAGAGAAGTGACCTAACTTGCCCCAAATCACATGACTAGTGAGGAACAGAGCTGAGGTGACACATACCTTTCAGTGGTTCACCATCGTCCTTGGTGTAAAGTCCAAATCCTAAGGCATGGCACATGAGGCCCTTGTCTCTTAGCCTTACCTCTGACTATGTACCTGCTAGGTTCCAGCTAGACCTGACAATTTGCGGTTCCCAGAACCCATCATGCCATTCCGTCCCTCTGGACCCTTGCACATACAGTATTGTCTTCTCTCAGAACATGCCCCCCTCCAACCCTCAAGTAATATTTATTTCTTAATTTGTTCAAATAAGTTATATTTACATAAATGCCTCTGTGATGAGCAAAAACTGCCCTTATGGAATTCAGAATCTCTTGAATTCCCCTGACTTATTTCTTTTTGTCCTTTAAGTCTTAGCTTAGATGCCATCTTCTCTGATCAACTCCAGCCTGGGTTGGGTACCCCTTTGTTCCCACAAGCCCCTTGCTCCCACCATCATAGCACTTAGTGCTGAGAATTGCCTCATGTGTCCTCCACAAGGCCATGAGGCCCATGAGAGAGGTATGGACTAGCCTGTTGTGATTGACACTGGATCCTCCCTACTTGATCCCTCACCTTTCTGGCCATCAAGCCTTTGACCTGGTCACCTCCTACCTCTTCCTCCTCCTGTTCCAAATGCTTTAGCTCTTCTCTGATCTGAGTTTGGTGCTGCTCTCACAATCTCTGCCTCCGAGCCTGGGCCAGGAAGAACTGCAGGGCCACATCTGGGGCCTGCCAGGCCTTGGTGGAGTCAGTCTAGGCTCAGCCAGAATCTCAGGCATGCACACAGCATTGGGACACAGAACCCAACATTTCCAGCACAACTCCATTACCAGGGCTGCTCCTGGAGCTGTGTCCAGGACCTAGCCTGGGCAGAGACTCTAGAGGCAGTGGAGAGAGGGCAGGGGCTGGTTCTACCAACAGGTGCCATAGAGGCCTTGAGGATCCCATACCCCTAATCCAATCCAATAGAAAAACAGCCCCTTCTCTTTCCCCTCCCTTAGGGGTCCGGTAGCCGTTCAGGTTCTTCATTTACTGGAAGCTCTGTATTTCTCCCTGGTGTCAGGGGAAGGTAAGCAGGAGGCAGATTAGCTGAGCTATGCAACACGTGCTCACTCCCCCAGTAGCTTCCAGTTGTTCCTCGAGTAAATGAGATGTTACCTGTTCGTCAGAGTTCCTGAGCGGGTGCTTTTGATGGCATCCACATCCTAGAGATGCTGCTCTTCCTGCCATTAGGGGAAAATGTGCTTAAGCAAGGCAAACATGGAGAAGACTCCCCTAGCTCCACCCCAAACCCCAGAACTACCTTGGCGCTCCCCCTGGAGGCCTGAGCTGCACCTTGCTGCTGAATCCATCACCTGCTGAGAAGGTATTGGGAAATTCCACACACTCCCTCCCAGGACAGTGTTAAACTCAGGATTTTGAAATCAAATCAGGATCCCGGCTACTCCTTTTCTTAGTTATGTTATCTCAGGCAGGTGACTAGCCATTTGAGCCTCCATTTCCTCTTCTATAGAATGGATCTGATAAAAGCCCCAATTTCCGAAAGTTGGAGAGAGCATGAAATGGTATAAAGCACTGAGCAGTGTCGGGCACTAGCTCAATAAATTGGAGCTAACATGCCTAATTCCCAAGGCCCATAGCTGTAAAATAAACAAGTTGTAATTATGAAAAGGGAAGAAGAGAAGGGTCAAGAGAGGCTGCCAAGGGTGAGATTCCAGCCACCCAGGACAAATCATGGAAGACAGCGCCCCCTTCTGCACAAGGGAGACTGAGCACAAGAGGATAAGAAAGCACCATATCAGGAGACTAATAAGGACTTGAGTGTGATTCTGCCTCTGCTGCCTCCGATTATCCCTATGACCCTGGGCCACTCACGTCTCTTCTCTGAGCCTCAGTTTGCTCATCTGAAGAGTGGGAGCCATGTTTTCTTCCCTGCTTAAAATACTTGTGGCTTCTCCTTGACCTTCAAGACAAAGTCTAAGCAACAGATTTACAAAGCCCTGTATGACCTGGCCCCTGCTCTCTCTCCAGTCCTCGACTCTCATCCTCACATTCTGTTCTCCATCAAATTGAGCTGCTTGCAGTTTCCCAAGAGCTGAAGCACTCACCTTCCTCTGAGACTTTGCCTGTCATTTCCTCTGCCTGAAATAGTCTTCACTCATCTTTGCTGGCCACCTCCTTCAGGAATCACTTCCTCCATGAAGTCTTCCTTCCCCCTCTTTCCAAGGCCAACTTAGATGCCCCGTAGAGTCCTGTGGTTATAAGCCCTTCAGAGCACTGATCATAGTATTGTAATTATTTTTCTCCAGGAGATGTAAACTCTGAGGACAGGGATTTCCCAGGGCTTATACAGTACTAAGCCTGATACATAGTGGGTGGTCGATAAATGTTTGGGAATGAATAAATTAGTAAATCAATGAATTAATGAAGGGCCCCTTCATAAACCCATTGCCATCTACTTGAGTCCGACTCACAGCAACCCTATAGGATAGAGTAGAACTGTCCCATAGGGTTTCCAAGGCTGTAATCTTTATGGAAGCAGACTGCCACATCTTTCTCCCCCATAGTGGCTGGTAGGTTTGAACCGTCGACCTTTCAGTTAGCAGCCAAGCACTTAACCACTGTGCCACAAGGCTCCTGATGGCCCCCTCATGAAACCAAAACAAAAACGCGTTGCCATTGAGTCAATTCCGACTCATAGCAACACTATAGGACAGAGTAGAACTGCCCCACAGGGTTTCCATGGAGCAGCTGGTGGATTTGAACTGCCAACCTTTTGATTAGCAGCCAAACACTTAATCACCATGCCTCCAGGGCTCCAGCCCCCTCATTAAAAAAAAAAAAATCAAACCGGTTGCTGTTGAGTCAATTCCAACTCATAGTGACCCTACAGGACACAGCAGAACTGCCGCATATGGTTTCCAAGGAACACCTCGTAGATTCAAACTGCCAACCTTTCGGTTAGCAGCCATAGCTCTTAACCAGTACACCACCGGGGTTTCCATAGCCCCCTCATAGTGCTCTGTATTTAGAGAAGAGGAAGGCAGACATCCCTGGGACTCCTAAGCTGTTGGATGAGGAGGCATACCTGCGGTTCTGGGAGCCCCCCTGCCTCAGCTTTAGCCTGTCTGAACATCTGGCTTCCTGGGCGCTGGCTCCAGGCTTTTACTACCCACGGGAAGAGGGTTCTGGGCAGGCTCTGGCCATCGCCAGCCCAGGTGCCTCCAGGCCTTACCTTTCTCACCTGCGGCTCACGCAGTGCCCGGCCTAGCTGGCTGAGCCCACTATCCGTCAGAGTGCTTCCAAGGAGGCCTGAACACAGGGTCCTCAGGTCAGTCTGGCAGTTCCAGGCTTCCTCTACCGCATCCCACAGGGTGGGCTTCACCTGTTCCACCTCCATCCTTCTTCTTGAGGCCCCCAACAGAGCAGCCTGGAGCAAGCTCAGGGAACTTCCTAGTAAAAGAGAGACTCAGAGTGAATCATTCCTTTCCTGTGGAATCCGAAGCACACTGCCTGTAATACTTGCAGGTTTTATTAATAATACTATTCATAGAGTTAACATCTATCAGGCGTTTACATGTGCTTGATGGCACTTGCTAAGCCTTTTTATGGATTGCCTCTTTTTATCCACTCAGGACTCCAATCAAGCAGCAACTCTAATCTATTCTGCCTCTACCTTACATTTTCCAGATGAAGCAACTGAAGCCCAGAGAGGTCAGGTAACTTCCTGGTGAGTGGCAGAGCTGAAACTAAAGCCCAGTTCTGCCCAATACTAAAGCCTGTGCCTTTAATCATAATACCAAACTGGCCTATAGACAGAGTTAGTTGGCTGTCCACCGCTGATTTATCCCTGAGGGCACGGACTGCCCCAGCTTATCTTCCTCATTCCACAGGGCCTGGCTCAAAGGAAGTTCTGGGAAAGTGTTGGCCTCATGAATGCGTGTTTGTTGACTTTGGAGTCAGTCTGAGGGCCTGACTTTTTTTTCTTTTTTTTAACTCTTTTATTATAGAAATTTTCAAACTTATACAAACTATAGGAAATCTACCTACCTATTATCTAGCTTCAACAATTATCAACTCATGCCCATTATTGTTTGATGTACGCCCCCAACTTGACATCCCCCATATTCTTTTTTTTTTTATTTTTTTATTGTACTTCAGGTGAAGGCCCACAGAACAAATAGTTTCTCATGAAACAGTAGTACACTCACTGTTCTATGACACTGATTAACAACCCCACAACATGTCAACCCTCTCCCTTCTCGACCTTTTTTTTTTTGGTGAAAATATACATAGCCAAAGATACACCATTTCAAAAATTTCTACGTGCACACTTCAGTGACATCGACTACGCTCTTCCAATTGTGCTGCTATTCTCACCTTAGACGAAGGCCCACAGAACAAAATAGTTTCGCATTTAATAGTTAGTACACATGTTGCCCTATGATAATGGTTAACAACCTTACAACACATCAACACTATCCTTACTCAACCTTTCGTTCCCTATCACCAGCTTTCCTGTCCCTTCTGCCTTCCGGCCCTTGTCCCTGGACTGCTGTGCCTCATTAGTCCCATTTGGCTCCATGGGGCTGTCCACTCTAAAGCTGAACGGTGAACCTCGGAAATGACTTCACCACTGAGCCAAAAGGGTGTCTGGGGGCCATACTCTCGGGGTTTCTCCAGTCTCCTTTAGGCCAGTAAATCTGGTCTTTTTTTGTGAGTTAGAATTTTGTTCTACATCCTTCTCCAGCTCTGTCCAGAACCCTCTTTTGTGATCCTGGTCAGAGCAGTCAGTGGTGGTAGCCAGGCACCATCTACCTGTACTGGACTCAGTCTGGTGGAGGCCTTGGCAGCTGTGGTCCATTAGTCGTTCGGACTAATCTTTTCCTTGTATCCTGTTCTCTTTATTCTCCCTTGCTCCCGAAGGGATGAGACCAGTGGAGTATCTTAGATGGCTGCTCACAGGCTTTTAAGACCCCAGACGCTACTCACCAAGGTAGAATGTAGAACATTGTCTTTATAAACTGTGTTATGCCAATTGAGCTAGATGTTCCCTGAGACCATGGTCCCCACAGCCCTCCACCCAGCAATTCAGTCCCTCAGGGAGTTTGGATGTGTGTATGGGGCTTCCATGACCTTTCCTTGTACAAGTTGTGCTGGTTTCCCCTGTATTGTGTACCGTCTCACCCTTCACCCAAGATACAGCTTTTTTTTTTTTTTAATTTTTCCCCATATTCTTTTGAAGCAAATTCCTGATATCATAACATTTCACAGAGGCCCAATTTTTAATGGCAGAGTGACCATAGGCAAGTCCCTTCCCCTCTCTGACTCTCCCTTTCCTCATCTATAAATTAGGCCTGTCTCCTTTTCCTCATCTGTAAGTTAGATCTGCCTCATGGGATTGTGGATCAGTCAGTAGAAAGTGCTTGGTTAGCTGGTGAATGTCTCTGATGAGTGAGAGGTTGCTGTTGCTTTCAGCCTTGCCTTTCCTGATCTCACTGCTCAGCCACTCTAGGACCTTCCTGGGTCCCAGCCCTCCCAGAGGGTCAGCCTTTCTCTCTCTGGGCTGGGACTCGGCTGCTTCGGTGGGAGGGTGAGGCCAGCCTAAGGCCAGATCCCAAAGCTTCCAAAGAACCTCACACCCTCCCCCGGGGAACCTTGGGGGTCCAAGTGAAGCAGTAGGCCACTGTAGTTGTTTCCTCCTAGGAGCCATGAGACAATCCAGGCCAGAGAGCCCTCTATCTCCTCACCAACTGCCTCGCCAGCCAGCACCTGCAGCAGGGGACAGTCTCTGCCAGAGGAAGGGAAGAAGAGAGATGTCTGGTGATGGGGGAAAGAAACTGGCCAGAATCACACTCTTATGGAAGAGCTGACTATATCTAGTAAATGTTGTATACCAAAGAACAGATTAGTAACCTTGTATATATCCTTATTGTATCATCATTATTATTTTTTAATTACTATGTTTACACCACCCAGGGACTCCTAGAGATAATGCATTTTCATGATAAAAAATTTAAATTGTGCATCTAACAAGGGACTTGTATCCAGACTATATAAGAGATGTTACAACTCAATAATAAAAAGACAAACCAATTAAAAATGGGCAAAGGATTGCAATAGATATTTCTGTAAAGAAGATATACATATGGTCAATAAGCACATGAAAATATGCTCAACATCATTAGTCATTAGGGAAATACAAATCAAAACCACATATAGTTACCACTTCACATCCACTAGGGTAGCTGTAATAAAAAGATGAACAATCACAAGTATTGACAAGGATGTAGAAAACTTGGAACCCTTATATACTGCTGGTAGGAGCATAAAATGGCGCAGCCATGGTGGAAAACAGTCTGACAATTCCTCAAAAAGTTAAACATGGAGTTACCATATGACCCAGCAATTCCATTCCTAGGTACGAAAAGAAATGAAAACATACATCTATGAAAAAACTTGTACACGAATGTTTGTAGCAGCATTATTTATAATAGCCAAAAGGTGTAAACATCCCAAATGTCCATCAACTGAAGAACGCATAAACAAAATGTGTGTCCATAAAATGGCATATTATTCAATCATAAAAAGGAAGTACTGATACATACCAAAACATGGATGAACCCTGAAAACATTACGCTAAGTGAAAGAAGGCAGTCACAAAGGACCACATAGTATGTGATTCCATTTATATAAAATGTCCAGAATAGGCACATCCATAGAGACAGAAAGCAGATGAGTTGTTGCTTAGGTCTACAGGGATGGGGGATGGGGAGGGGTAACTAAATAACTAAAGGTTGCTGTGTACTGTCGAGTCGATTCTAACTCATAGCGACCCTATAGGACAATAGAACTGCCCGGTAGGGTTTTCAAGACTGTACTTTTTATGGAAGCTGACTGCCACATCTTTCTCCCCTGAAGCAGCTGGCAAGTTCGAACCGCCAGCCTTTTAGTTAGCAGCCAAGCACTTTAGCCACTGTACCACCAGGGCTCCCTGAAGATACATGAGTGGCTGAAAATGAATTAGAAATGTAAAAATAAAAAAGTAGTAGGGAATCTAACTAAATGACATTCTGGAAAAGGCATAAATAATAGAGACATTGAAAAAATCACCGGCTGTCAGATCTCCAGGGCGATGAAACTATTCTGTATGACACAGTAATGGTAGACAGATGACATGATGTATTTCTCAAAACTTACAGGCCTGTACAACACAAAGAGTGAACTCTAATGTAACTATGGACTTTAATAATAATGTATCAATATTGATTCATCAGTTGTAATAAATGTACCACATGAATGCAAGATGTTAATAATAGGAGAAACAATGTGCAGGAGGGAGCGGGTATATGAGAACTCAGTACTTCCTGTACAGTTTTTGTGTAAAACCTAAAGCTGCTCTTAAAAAAAAAGTCTTAAATGTTAAAAAGTAGTAGGGAAAAAACATTAAAAAATGTTTGAAGACACTATTTACAAAACTTCCTCCTGGTGTACTCATCAACATATCAACATACTGGAAGTATTTCTTTTCATCTAATAATTCCTCTCATTCTCCACATGGTTGCCTTTGACAATATCATCTGCTAACAGCGGATCTTAGCCTAGGCACTGGGGTGCCCTTACTGTTGGAGTTGAGAAAAGGGGGAGCTACTCCTATGCTGCCCTGGTATGTCTCTGTCAGCCCCCAACTCCCACCCCTAACTGTGATCAGAAGGCCCCATCAGACTTACTGGGCTCCTGGGAGCTGTAGGATCTGCAAGGCCCCTCGCCACACACCCTGAGTCCCAGGCCCCTCAGGGGGGTCAGGCCCTGGGCAGGACATGGTGAGAATGAGCAGAGAGCAGGCCCTGTGGAGCAGAGGGTGGGCTCACGCCAGATGTCTAGGGGATGGGTGGGTGGGTGACAGGTACCCTCCTGTCCTCACCTGCCCTCACCCTCTGTGACCTGCGGGTACAGCTCTGGGGCAGTTCTTGGGTCAGATACCTCCACTTCACTGGCATCTTCCACTACCCTGGAGGAAGGAGAGGCTGAACTCAGCTCCTAAGCACTAGGGTTCTGTGTAGCCCCCTAGAACCTCTGCACGGAGAGCCTATGGAGGTCCCCAGAGTCTGTAAGAATCATCCTAAAGACTCCCAAGCTCAGGATATCCCTAAGGCCTCTCATCTTCACAATCTTATTTTTCTCCTCTCATCTACTTAGTGAGGGAAAGAGGGTGATTGGGCTTGCCCCCTTTTTATAGGTAAAGAAACTAAGGTCCTGCTCAGTTAGATGCAAAATCACCCAGTATGATAATGACTGGATCGAGGAATCCCAAGATCAGCAGGTAAGCTGCTGGATCAAGTCCCAAGAACCGGAGGTCAGATGAACAGGAGGCAGCTGCAGGATCCAAAGAGGGCAAAAGCCAGAACATCCACTTATATTCGGATGCAGGCTGCATGCCCAAAGACACTCCCTTTCAACTGACTGGCTACTCACAGCACATCCCATCATGGGGCTGATCACATATAAACACCGAGAATCATGGCCCCAGCCAAGTTGACACACAATCTTAACCATCACAGTCCACCCCTTGTCAACTTGGCACCTGTACACATCTCCCCAAACCATACATAATCTCTGAATGAAGACAATTATAAAGTCATACTCGTGCCTAACATGATAGAATTAACACGTGTACAACCGAAAATGCACTAGCCCCATTTACATTTTATATTTTGTAAGTGAAGAAGAAAATATTTGATGTATACATATAAAGTAGAAATACTCATAACAATTACAGTCTGCATTTCTGCAACTGGTCATGTGGCCGTAACTGGTATTTAGAACTACCTTCTTCCACCACCCATTCTGTATTCCCTTTGCCCTCAGCGACCACCTCAGCTGTTTGTGGTTCTTTACCTGGTGGGGTGACCCAAACCTTCATTCCTGAAGGGTCTGGGCTATTAGCAGTCATGTCAAAATTTTTCTACTGACTTTAATCACAGGGCATGGTAGTACTAAGAGACGCCCTAAGGGATCTCCTGCATTCCAGACATACTCTTCTTTACCTCCTTTATGTAATATCAGTCCGATTTCCTCTTGGTAATCAGGATCAATCACACCAGCCAGTATGGTAACTCCCTTCTTTGCCTGTTGAGCCAGAGGCATAAGGAGCCCAAAGTGGCCAGGCGGCATTCTTAGCTTCCAGTTCAATGGAATCAGTGATGTGTCTCCAGGTGGGAGCTTTCCTCCCTTTGGCACTAAGACCTCTAGGCCTGCAGAGCATAAGGTCACTGGGACAGGAAGCAAAAACCTTGCAAGCAAGTAACTAGGGGTAATAGTGAGTGGTGCCACTCCCATTGCCACCCCTTGCTTCCTGGACCCATGAATCCTGGATATGGGAGAAACAGCACCATATATTGGACACCGGTTTAGAGCATATACAGCCTCCTGGAGAACATTGCCCCAGCGCTGCAGGGTATTGCCAACTAGCTGGTGCCGTAATTGTGTCTTTAGGAGGCCGTACCATTGTTCCATCAAGCCAGCTACTTCAGAATGATGGGGAACATGGTAAGACCAGTAAATTCCATGAGCATGGGCCCACTGCTTTACATCATTTGCTGTGAAATGAGTCCCTTGATTGGAGGCACTGCTGTGTGGGATACCATGACAGTGGATAAGGCATTCTGTAAGTCCATGGATGGTAGTTTTGGCAGAAGCATTGCATACAGGGAAGGCAAATCTGTATCCAGAGTGTCTGTTCCAGTAAGGACAAAACACTGCCCTTTCCATGATGGAAGTGGTCCAATGTAATCAATTTGTCACCAGGTTGCTAGCTGATCACCTTGAGGCATAGTGCCATATCAGGGACTCAGCGTTGGTCTCTGCTGCTGGCAGATTAGGCACTCAGCAGTGGCTGTAGCCAAGTCATCCTTGGTGAGTGGAAGTCCATGTTGCTGGGCCCATGCATAACCTCCGTTCCTGCCCCCATGGCCACTTTGTTCACGAGCCCGTTAGGCAATGACAGGAGTACCTGGGGAAAGAGGATGACTGGTTTCTGCAGAATGAGTCATCCTATCCACTTGATTGTTTAAAATCATCCTCTGCTGAGGTCACCCTTTGGTGAGCATTCACATGAGACACAAATATCTTCACTTCTTTGGCCCATTCAGAGAGGTCTATCCACATACCCCTTCCCCATAATCCTTGTCTCCAATTTTCCAATCATGTTCCTTCCAAGTCCCTGACCATCCAGCCAAACCATTGGCCACAACCCATGAATCAGTATACAGTTGCACATCTGGCCATTTCTCCTTCGAAGCAAAGTAAACAACCAGGTGCACTGCTCGAAGTTCTGCCCATTTGGAGGATTTCCCTTCATCACTGTCCTTCAGGGAAGTCCCAGAAAGGGGCTGTAGTGCTGTCGACTTTTGAGTGGTGCCTGCATATCCTGCAGAACCATCTGTAAACCAGGCTTGAGTTTTCTCTTCCTCAGTCAAGTGGTCATAAGGAACTCCCCATGAGGCCGTAGGTGCAGACTGGGAGATGGAAGGTAATGTGACAGGAGTGGAGACCATGGGTATTTGGGCCACTTCCATATGCAACTTACTTGTGCCTTCAGGTCCTGCTCAGCCCCAATCTCGTATATACCACTTCCATTTAATGATAGAGTGCTGCTGTGCGCATACAAATTTATGACTCTGTGCATCAGACAACACCCAGTTCATGATGTTCATGATGGGCAGCTCAGGCTTCATGGCAACTTGGTGTCCCATGGTTAAGTGTTCAGTCTCTACTAAGGCCCAGTAAAAAGCTAAAAGCTATTTCTGAAAAGGAGAGTAGTTATCCGCAGAGGATGGCAGGGCTTTGCTCCAAAATCCTAAGGGTTTGCACTGTGATTCACCAAAAGGGGCTTGCCAAAGACTCCAGACAGTATCTGTATCTGCCACAGACACTTCAAACACCATTGGATCAGCTGGATCATATGGCCCAAGT